ATAAATTAAAAACGACAAGCAAAATAAATTAATTTGGAATTAATATGAAAGAACGAAAACTTTATTGCTTGTTCTAGAGTAACTAAATTGCAACATTTGAAATTACCTTAAATCAAAATATTCCCATTTCTTCCTTGTGTGATTGGGCACTCATTTTTCTGGAAGGGGATATTACAGGGACAAATATTTGCATCCAGCTCAAGTATATATCTTTTTTACACTGATTTAAAAATAGTACATAACAAAGGGAAGAAAAAAGAGAAAAAATTTCCTATAATATTTTTATTGATCTGGGCAAGCAATAATGAGTAAACTTATTCTAGTAGTAGCAGTTAGAAAAACAAGTTAAAGGAAGAGAGAATGAAGAAAAATATACAGTAGTAGTAATAACATTAGTTTAACATATAAACGGTGCAAAAGAATTAACAAAGATGCTCTCACGTGCTTCATGCTTCAAGCTTTAACCTACAAATGGATGATTGAATGAGAAGCACTTCATCTCAACTTCTTCAATGAATGGCTTTTTCAATTCATTTATCTCCTCTTTATAACTTCTCTTCTGATCTATAGTATAGCAATATCAGATCAAATTCCCAAGGTTTACACACACACTTTCCCTCTATCTTATTTTTTATTCTATATTGTTATGGCAGAGTCTTACAAGCTTCTCTTATTATCTGCAGCCTTATGTTGTTTATATGGGAAATTCTTCACCCAACAACATAGATAAATGCCCCCATAAATCAGCGCATAAGATTTGAGCTTTAATCTTATGCAAAGATAAATATACCAAAAAGACAGAGCTATATGTCTGTATTATATAGCAAGTTCGATGTACTACACAAACTGTTGTTAATTTCCATATCTAGCAAGTGTAAATCATCCCCCTGCCAGATAACACATACAAAAAAAAAAAAAAAAAATTAATAAATAGGAATGAAAACCATATAGCCCCTTTGTTTTTCAGTGTACGTAAGAAAAAAAAAACTACTTGGGGTACCTTTTCTCAAGGAGTATCAATTATGGGAGCACTCAAAAATATGATTGTCCCTCATCTCTTATCTATATGGGCAAGGCCATGATGTTATTATTTAGAAAAATCTGTGGAAATAAGTATTATTTTTTTTTAGTGTTCAAAATATTATTGCTCCTTCCAACTATCTTTCTCAGCCTAACCATAGTACATCATGCATTATATCAATCCTTATTTCACGCAAGCGGAGACAGTCCTCATTAACTAAATGGGGAACGAAAAACCATAAATCCCTAATATCACCAAAGACCTTACAAATAAAAAATTGAATTGCCAATATACAAAGGTGAAGGTAGTTCTCACCTTTGTTCAACGCTTCAATGTGCGCATATCCCAAATCACTAAGCAAAACAGGCTGGAATCTCACAGTGATTGGATGAGAGTATTTGGGGAATGAAGGTAGAATCACTCGTCGAGTACAATCTCTTGAAAGGATAGCCAAGCAAATCCTAATCGAAGAAGACTGGGGCTCAATCATACCAAGTTCAGTTTCTTCCTATGAGACAAATACCGAATAAATAACGAATCGAAACTATGAACGAAATTAGGGTTTTAGAGTGGAAGAAGATTAGAGTTGGATAATTCTTGACATGGAAACTTAGGGTTCATGAGTGGAAAACGAATACTGGATTAGGGTTCGAAGAATTCTTTAACTGGCCGTTTGGTACGAGGTATTTTTCCGGATACCCAGGAAACTGAATTTTTCTAAATTTTAAATTTTCGGATATTATCGTAAACTGAATGTAAAAATCATATTTTTGAAAATTGAGATTCCCGGGTAAAAAATAATCATATGGAAAACATATGCAAAAATTTCTCCTAAAATGTAAATTGTAAATGAAAGATAGTAAACATGAGATCAGTTGAGATAAGTCGTCGACAAGTGAGCGCAATGCGTAATAGGTTCGGTTCGGTTCGACTTGGTAACAAAATAGTTTTAAATTGGGTCAAACTGAATTGCTTTAAAAAAAATTAAAAATGGTTCAAGGTCGAGAACTGCTTTAAAAAACTGGTTTTTTTGGTTCAATTTGGTGTGGTTCTTAAAATAATTCAGTTCTCTTGAATATTTTGCACACCCCTGTACGTGACGATTATTTAACATTACAAACTAAAAAACATATTAGTTGTATAAAATTAAAATAAAAAATAACACACACAGATTAGTTGAGAAAACCTCTAAAAGAGATTAATAAATGATTTGATAATATATTTGAATTTCTCATCCATCAAGATATAAAAATCTCCTTGATTCCGATCATATGACTACTACAAAAGGTATCAAATACGAAAATGAATTCTCTCATGTTTTATTTAACATGATCACATCATGTGGAAGAATCTTAATTATATAGAGATGAATCAACAGTATTGTCATTAAATATGTCTTAACATTTATTAATCGGATAAATAAGTCAAATGTTTTTATTATGGTATAAATTGATTTTCACGATGGCAGTTTAATTTTTGAAGTATCCAAAATTTAAAATAAACGTATCGGAAATTATAGGACAAAAATTTCTCTACCCTAAGATCGTTATAATTATGGATGTCATTTAACAAATCCAACATTTGTTAATCAGATAAATAACCCAAATATTTTTATTATGGTATAAATTGATTCTAATGACAGCAATCAAATTTTTAAAGTATTTAAAGTTTATATATATATATATATATTTAATGCTAGCTTACCATAAAAAGTAAATTCAAAATTTCGATGACATGGTATTTTTTAATTAAAAATTGGGGTTTATAAATTTTTTGTTGCTGCATCAACACAAAATTTGTAGAATCGGGTCGATACGCACAGCGCCCGAGATAATAAAAAAGGGAAAAAAAAATTGTGGTCCTCATATTTTATTGTCTCAGCTGCAAAATAATTTTTGGAGCATTAACATAAAATTTATAAACCCCTTAAAAGTTTATAACTAAAGCCAAAAGCTAAATAATTTTTTTTAATAAAAAAAAGTTAAATAACTTAAATCAAGTGTTAAGAGAAACGGTTGATAATATTGGCAATTTCTTTCATTAAAATTATATTAGATACTCAGGAAAATTCTTATCTGTCCATCCATGCATGGAATCAGGGAGAAGAATCAGGAAGAATATCATGTGATTGCAAGAATTTCTGATCTGTATCGCAATTAACATCCAAGGATGACATCATAACAAGCAGCAAAACACAAGCTGAATGAGCAGTTTCTATTTCCAAATTCAATTCTGTCAAAAAGTGCATTCACCTGAACCAATCCTAACCATCGATCTGTACCAGAAATTCATCAAACCCCTAACAATGAACCAAGCCTGACAACTTGTGGACCCAGGTCCACTTCTTTGATATTGTCGAAACAGTTTCCGTCACACTTATAAACCTCACGCAGTCAACCCCAACCCCACTACCCCTTGGAGTTAAAGTACCACAACCTCAAAACGCTGCCTCGCTATCCTTGTCTTGTCTGTATCCGTATATTTCTCGCTTCAAAAATGTCAAAAATATGTAAGCGCACCTCCATCCTCTCTCTCTCTCTCCCTCTGTTTCCGAGCAGAGTATTTTGTCTTTTTATGGCAGTTACAGTGTGGCTGAATTGGAGTATTTTCATAAGGGATTTTATAAAAGTTATTGGGTAATGTTATAGAGATTTATTTTGCGTGCCATAATTTTTTTTTTTTTTCAAAAAGTGTGAGTCCCACAAAATATTGTGTGTAGAAAAGTTTATTGTGTCATGTTAGATGACAAATACAAATCCCTTTCAAAGGAATGTTTTTTGAGATATATAAAATCATCTTATCCAATAATTTAAATTTTTGGGTTAAATTGATTTTTTACATGTTATCATTAAGCTTAAATTTTTAAATTTTCGAATTGAATTAATTGTTTACAATCATATCGGATTTTTTTTTGCTGCGTGTAACATGACAGCGTAAGCGTTGAGTTGCGTTTGCATCTTTTTTTCTTTTTTTTTTTTTTGTTTCTTTGCGTTTTCAATAAACTTAAGAATTAATTATATCAGATTGGAAGTATTTGCAGTCTGGTTTGTCATTCGGAGCGGGTTTCACTCGAAAGCAAATAAGGACAAGGGTTTAGCTCATTCTTTTTCAGAAACCCCCAAAAATAGCTCATTTTTTTCTAGTCACAATTAAGGTGGGACAGGGGGTGGGCCTAAGAGAACTGAAAGAAAACGTGAGTTTGCGTTTATCATGATCGAGGATGAGGATTTGGTGAGATTTGGAGGTGTATAAAAAGAGGAAGAGTGAAAAACTAGTTTGTGAGTGTAGTGTGTGGTATGTCCTTTTCGAGTAGTAATAGAAACTATAGTAATCCCGCATGTCTCCATCTTTCATAGTTGTTCTTCTTTTTATTACAATCAATCCCTTTCTTTCTAAATCTGCATGTGTCTCCTTGCCACCATTTTGTTCCTTTATCTACTTTTATTTATTGACCACTTTCTCTTTTTAGTTTTCTGTTCTCTTCTTCCTTCTTTTGGGTTTTTTCAGATCGTTGGCTTTCGATCATGCTCTGATCCCGAGCCTCATCGAAGATTGTTTTTCCTTTTTTTTTTTTATCTTAGGACCATTTTGTTTCACGTGAAAGATGTTGTTTTTTGGGGCATTGTTATTCATTAGTTGCATTGTAACTCAATTGCTGCATCTGTGTGGTCTTTATTTCGGTGCTTTCCCTGCTAACCTAACCATTGCTTTTGTTTACCGTAAATGGCCATTTCCTGTCACTGTTTCATTCAATGAAAGTGATGACCTGAACTTCATCCTTCAATGACTTTTATTATTATTTTTATTTTGTTCTATTATCCATTCAGAACCAATGACATGTATTGATATGGTTCTTTTCTTCTCTATATGTCATTCCCATTCTCAACTGTTGACAGACACTCTTTCATTCTCTGGAATCTAACCATAAATGTTTGCTTGTTTTGTTGTTGTTCAAGATAAGAAGAGCTTTGTAGCGAAGATGTTTCAGTGCATGATCCCGTGTGCCAAGCCAACCGCTGTTGATGGGGATGAAGATGTCCGTGGGAATGGAACGCCGAACACAAAAGAAGCCGTCAAGGGTCTGACTTCGCAGGTCCTTAATACCCTCTCTCTATCTCTCTCTTCATCTACAAACATTGCTTTTTTCAGCTTCTTTTTCCATCTTGGTTAAAACAAACAAAATCAAACCCAGTGGGGTCCACACTTGGAATCTTTAATCTCCACGTAGACCTACATATAGCCTACATACACACACTCATATGATGTTTTTTTATATAAAATATACATCATACGGATGCCTTGTTATCTAGGCGGGGATTGTTTTGGTTTAGGATGACGTAACTCTGTGTGTGTTGTGTTTTGTCCACTTTTTTGTGTACAAGGATGGTCCACTTCCTCTCACGGATTGGATTGGTCCATTTATTGGTTTATTTATATGCATGAGGTGGTTCTGTGGTTCTGACCTGAAGTGACCATCATGATCAACCAATCAAGCCGGTCCTAATCCCTTTGTTCTTTTTATAGTTATAAATTAGGGAATCAACTTGTCAAGTGGGTTCTTACGACTCTTCTCTTTTTAGCCACTTATAATTGCACATGAGATTATTCACTTACCATCATTATCCTATTTTTCAAAAGTTTTCTATTATGTGTCGATGCAAATTATATGATTTAGTATGGCAAGAAAGTATATAGTTGGTGTGGCCAGGTATGGATTGCATTTATGGCAGAAGCATGTTTATATTTATAAGCAACTATTTGTTTTTACACCATTATTCCATTATCCAAGAGCCTCTTTATTTTGCTTCTTTTATATTTGCTTATTAGTTTACCTTCTTCTTCATGCTCTTCCTTCTTCCTTATGATGCCTCTCCTAACTATTTCGAACCAAATGTTTCTAAATTGTGTGAAAAATTGGACAAGTAATATTTGGATAGATATTACTGGAGATTTCTACAAATAGAAAATGCTTTCCATTGGGGGTACATAGTTGATAGTAGGATATATACATATATAGACTTTCACGTTCAAGGATGTTGTTGTCATCCACTTGCATGTATTCTCTACCAAGTACATTCTCCACTAGCCCAGCTTTAAAGGTATTGTATGATGCTTTGAAAATGACCTAAGCCTGAAACCTTAAGACTCCATGGTATGTATTAATTGTATGGTACATGATTAAAACTTTTAAATGCATTGATGCTAATTTGAATTTTTATTCTGCATATGCAGATTAAGGATCTGGCGCTGAAGCTTTCAGGGAAGAAAATCAAAGGTGGCACCTCCGAGAGCATCAAGTATGACACCGTTTCTGAAGGGGGGGTTCCACACGGCTACATTGGTGGTGGAAGCGCAAGTTCAACCCCTGCTTTGGACTACACAAACCCCAATCAATCCCCAATTGGTAACACCACCCCTGGAGGGCGTCAACCTCAACCACCAGCTGGTAGTGTAGCGTTGGTGGACATGACTGGATCCAACGAGTGGATAGCACAGATGGAGCCAGGTGTTCACATCACCGTTGTGTCTCTTCCTACTGGGGGCAATGATCTCAAAAGGATTCGCTTCTGGTATGTATAATATGTCCCAAGTTTTGAAAATATATGTAGTACCTTAGAGACCATAATATATATATATATGTGTGTGTGTGTGTGTGAGAATTTTAGTTGTTGAAAAAAAAATTAATTATCATGTAGTAATAAAGACTTACAATACTTGGCATTTAAATTTGAAGCCGAGACATGTTTGATAAGTCGCGAGCCCAGAGGTGGTGGGCTGAGAATTACGACAGGATCAGGGAGCTTCATAATATCCAGACTTTAAATCAACATGTTTCCAACACTCCTGCAAGGTCTGATGATGATGAGGTAATCTACAACTTTTACACACATATGATGTTGTTAAGAGTTAAGAATCTATTTCATCGACCTTGTTATTTTTCATGATACATCAATTCATGTTTATCACTATATCGTGAGAAGAGGTTGACATAAATAAGAGCTCTCTATTGGATTCTCGAGATTCATTCATGTACATTACTATTGCCTTTGAACAGAACTCGGGGGAATCTGAACAAGATATCCCAATGGCTTCAATGCTGAACACGGATTCGACTCCGGGGAATTTCCATGCACCCGCTGGGAATATGGGGTATTTCCATGGTGGGATATCAAGGGCTAACAACCCTACTGACAATGACGTGGATGCTGAATGGGTTGAGCAGGACGATCCTGGAGTGTTAATCACTGTGAAGAGGTCAGCTAATGGGACCAGGCAAATTCGCCGTATCAAATTCAGGTAATATAAAATGCATATCAAAAACATGTTCCTTATTGTTTTTTCCTTCACAATTAGATGGTCGTAGGAGCATGTTCTTTGGTGAAATTAGGAAATGGTAAAATCCTAGATTGCATGTAACATGTTGCCAAATTTTCATTTAAAAATTTATTTAGAAGATTAGTGGGTTTTGATTTGACTCTTTGTTAACTGTCTGCAGCCGGGAAATTTTTGATGCAGATGCAGCCAAGGATTGGTGGCTGCGCAACAGGGTTCGAGTTCATGCTCAGTATATGTGAAGCCTTGTTGCTGCGAAGAAAAGTGGATGTTCTAAATTGCTGGAATTTTCAACTTTTCTTTACTAAACATTGTTATCTTATTCTTGTTGTTGTTCACTCCAGTATATGGAGTGTAGTCTTGGTGATGGTCTCTTAATATGTTATAGTTGGTACTGTTTCGTAAGTTTAAGTTTGTGGTGTCTCTGTTTACTCCAATTACTGTGGGGTATATTGCTGTTGATTTATCTTTGGTTGAACAATTGGTAAGTTTGGTTATTTAAGACCAACTTGCTCTTTTATAATATATATTTTCCTTGTGTGGTTTATCAGCGCAAGCTTGTGAAAACCCTATCTGTTGATGCTTATGTATATGTGGAGTGCTGAGAGTATTCTTGGCTGGTTATAATACCGAGAAGAGGATACGAAATACAATTTAATAAAAGTTCAATGATAAAACACTATTTTTAACATGAACACCTATGTTATGCTTGGAATTGTTGCATTAATGTTCTTCATGAGTGGAACTGAAGAAAAGTGAATTGAAACAAGTACACTTCTTCTTCCAGGTTCCTTAGAAGACTGCCGTAACATCTACCTTATCACTCACTCGCCTACCTTCTTCTTCTTTCATCTACCTTATCACTTGCTCGCCTATCTTATTCTCCTCCTTCTTGTTCTCCTCTTCTTTCTCCTCCTCCTCCTCTTCTTCCTCTTCTTCTTCTTCTTCTTCTTCTTCTTCTTCTTCCTTAGAAGACTACCGCAACATCTACCTTATGACTCACTTGCCCTTGAAGCTCCATAAAATATTTTTACATGTGGAGGGTAATTAAGCTCGAAAACTCCATCAACAAATGGATATACGTATTGCCTTCCTGGTTCTTAGAAAATTGCCGCAACATCTACCTTATCACTCACTCGTCCTTCAAGCTCCATCAGAGTTTAACTTGATCCACCTCATGAATATAGGCATCTCCTACTATGTGTCCTTTTTCTGGTCTTGCAATATCTGCAATGTTCCTTTTTTTAGAAACAAAAAGATTTATTTTCTTTTTATGTTATAGTTACAAGTGTTAAGAGAAACGGTTTTAAAATTATATTAGACACTCAGGAAAATTCTTATCTTTCCATCCATGCATGGAATCAGGGAGAAGAATCAGGAAGAATATCATGTGATTGCAAGAATTTCTGATCTGTATCACAATTAACATCCAAGGATGACATCATAACAAGCAGCAAAACACAAGCTAAATGAGAAGTTTCTATTTCCAAATTCAATTCTGTCAAAAAGTGCATTCACCTGAACCAATCCTAACCATCGATCTGTACCAGAAATTCATCAAACCCCTAACAACGTAAATTGATTTTAACTATCGCAATCAAATCTTGAGATATCAAAAAGAAAAAACAAATATACATAAAAATTTCTCTATCCTAGAAATGTTATAGTTACAATTGTCATTAAATATGTCTTAACATTTATTAATCGGATAAATAAGTCGAATGTTTTTATTATGGTATAAATTGATTTTCACGATGGCAGTTTAATTTTTGAAGTATCCAAAATTTAAAATAAACGTATCGGAAATTATAGGACAAAAATTTCCCTTCCCTAAGATCGTTATAATTATGGATGTCATTTAACGAATCCAACATTTGTTAATCAGATAAATAACCCAAATATTTTTATTATGGTATAAATTGATTCTAATGACTGCAATCAAATTTTTAAAGTATCTAAAATTTAAATATATATATATATATATATTTAATGCTAGCTTACCATAAAAAGAAAATTCAAAATTTCGATGACATGGTATTTTTTTATTAAAAATTGTGGCTTATAAATTTTTTGTTGCAGCATCAACACAAAATTTGTAGAACTCGTTAGCTATAGCATTGCACGGGTCGATACGTACAGCGCCCGAGATAATAAAAAAGAGAAAAAAAAATTGTGGTCCTCATATTTTATTGTCTCAACTGCAAAATGATTTTTGGAGCAGTAACATAAAATTTATAAACCCCTTAAAAGTTTATAACTAAAGCCAAAATTTAAATAATTTTTTTTAATAAAAAAAAGTTAAATCACTTAAATCAAGTGTAAGAGAAACGATTGATAATATTGGCATTTCTTTCATTAAAATTATATTAGATACTCAGGAAAATAGTTATCTGTCCATCCATGCATGGAATCAGGGAGAAGAATCAGTAAGAATATCATGTGATTGCAAGAATTTCTGATCTGTATCACAATTAACATCCAAGGATGACATCATAACAAGCAGCAAAACACAAGCTAGATGAGAAGTTTCTATTTCCAAATTCAATTTTGTCAAAAAGTGCATTCACCTGAACCAATCCTAACTATCGATCTGTACCAGAAATTCATCAAACCCCTAACAATGTAAATTGATTTTAACTATCGCAATCAAATCTTGAGATATCAAAAATAAAAAACAAATATACATAAAAATTTCACTATCTTAGAAATGTTATAGTTACAATTGTCATTAAATATGTCTTAACATTTATTAATCGGATAAATAAGTCGAATGTTTTTATTATGGTATAAATTGATTTTCACGATGGCAGTTTAATTTTTGAAGTATCCAAAATTTAAAATAAACGTATCGGAAATTATAGGACAAAAATTTCCCTTCCCTAAGATCGTTATAATTATGGATGTCATTTAACGAATCCAACATTTGTTAATCAGATAAATAACCCAAATATTTTTATTATGGTATAAATTGATTCTAATGACTGCAATCAAATTTTTAAAGTATCTAAAATTTAAATATATATATATATTTAATGCTAGCTTACCATAAAAAGAAAATTCAAAATTTCGATGACATGGTATTTTTTTATTAAAAATTGTGGCTTATAAATTTTTTGTTGCAGCATCAACACAAAATTTGTAGAACTCGTTAGCTATAGCATTGCACGGGTCGATACGTACAGCGCCCGAGATAATAAAAAAGAGAAAAAAAAATTGTGGTCCTCATATTTTATTGTCTCAACTGCAAAATAATTTTTGGAGCAGTAACATAAAATTTATAAACCCCTTAAAAGTTTATAACTAAAGCCAAAATTTAAATAATTTTTTTTAATAAAAAAAAGTTAAATCACTTAAATCAAGTGTAAGAGAAACGATTGATAATATTGGCATTTCTTTCATTAAAATTATATTAGATACTCAGGAAAATAGTTATCTGTCCATCCATGCATGGAATCAGGGAGAAGAATCAGTAAGAATATCATGTGATTGCAAGAATTTCTGATCTGTATCACAATTAACATCCAAGGATGACATCATAACAAGCAGCAAAACACAAGCTAGATGAGAAGTTTCTATTTCCAAATTCAATTTTGTCAAAAAGTGCATTCACCTGAACCAATCCTAACTATCGATCTGTACCAGAAATTCATCAAACCCCTAACAATGTAAATTGATTTTAACTATCGCAATCAAATCTTGAGATATCAAAAATAAAAAACAAATATACATAAAAATTTCACTATCTTAGAAATGTTATAGTTACAATTGTCATTAAATATGTCTTAACATTTATTAATCGGATAAATAAGTCGAATGTTTTTATTATGGTATAAATTGATTTTCACGATGGCAGTTTAATTTTTGAAGTATCCAAAATTTAAAATAAACGTATCGGAAATTATAGGACAAAAATTTCCCTTCCCTAAGATCGTTATAATTATGGATGTCATTTAACGAATCCAACATTTGTTAATCAGATAAATAACCCAAATATTTTTATTATGGTATAAATTGATTCTAATGACTGCAATCAAATTTTTAAAGTATCTAAAATTTAAATATATATATATATATATTTAATGCTAGCTTACCATAAAAAGAAAATTCAAAATTTCGATGACATGGTATTTTTTTATTAAAAATTGTGGCTTATAAATTTTTTGTTGCAGCATCAACACAAAATTTGTAGAACTCGTTAGCTATAGCATTGCACGGGTCGATACGTACAGCGCCCGAGATAATAAAAAAGAGAAAAAAAAATTGTGGTCCTCATATTTTATTGTCTCAACTGCAAAATAATTTTTGGAGCAGTAACATAAAATTTATAAACCCCTTAAAAGTTTATAACTAAAGCAAAAATTTAAATAATTTTTTTTAATAAAAAAAAGTTAAATCACTTAAATCAAGTGTAAGAGAAACGATTGATAATATTGGCATTTCTTTCATTAAAATTATATTAGATACTCAGGAAAATAGTTATCTGTCCATCCATGCATGGAATCAGGGAGAAGAATCAGTAAGAATATCATGTGATTGCAAGAATTTCTGATCTGTATCACAATTAACATCCAAGGATGACATCATAACAAGCAGCAAAACACAAGCTAGATGAGAAGTTTCTATTTCCAAATTCAATTTTGTCAAAAAGTGCATTCACCTGAACCAATCCTAACTATCGATCTGTACCAGAAATTCATCAAACCCCTAACAATGTAAATTGATTTTAACTATCGCAATCAAATCTTGAGATATCAAAAATAAAAAACAAATATACATAAAAATTTCACTATCTTAGAAATGTTATAGTTACAATTGTCATTAAATATGTCTTAACATTTATTAATCGGATAAATAAGTCGAATGTTTTTATTATGGTATAAATTGATTTTCACGATGGCAGTTTAATTTTTGAAGTATCCAAAATTTAAAATAAACGTATCGGAAATTATAGGAGAAAAATTTCCCTTCCCTAAGATCGTTATAATTATGGATGTCATTTAACGAATCCAACATTTGTTAATCAGATAAATAACCCAAATATTTTTTTTATGGTATAAATTGATTCTAATGACTGCAATCAAATTTTTAAAGTATCTAAAATTTAAATATATATATATATATTTAATGCTAGCTTACCATAAAAAGAAAATTCAAAATTTCGATGACATGGTATTTTTTTATTAAAAATTGTGGCTTATAAATTTTTTGTTGCAGCATCAACACAAAATTTGTAGAACTCGTTAGCTATAGCATTGCACGGGTCGATACGTACAGCGCCCGAGATAATAAAAAAGAGAAAAAAAAATTGTGGTCCTCTTATTTTATTGTCTCAACTGCAAAATAATTTTTGGAGCAGTAACATAAAATTTATAAACCCCTTAAAAGTTTATAACTAAAGCCAAAATTTAAATAATTTTTTTTAATAAAAAAAAGTTAAATCACTTAAATCAAGTGTAAGAGAAACGATTGATAATATTGGCATTTCTTTCATTAAAATTATATTAGATACTCAGGAAAATAGTTATCTGTCCATCCATGCATGGAATCAGGGAGAAGAATCAGTAAGAATATCATGTGATTGCAAGAATTTCTGATCTGTATCACA